GCACAGGACGGGACACTCTCTGGACACCTCAGGTTTTACCCTGTACAATCAGGAGGCTGGACAGAGGAAACTACCGCATCAGCATCAGCTAATTTTACCATGCAGCAGGCAGCACACTCTACTTTCTTCATGTGCTCAGCATTGTGAAGCGCACGCCAGCTTTGCTTTTGACACACTCTCCATCACCGCCTGTTATTTTGCTCTTGACTGATAACGGCCGATGTGAACATTTTTAAATGTGAAAGCATGGCCGTAGCGTGGATGCAGGCGGGGAAAGAGTTAAAAGCTGACAGAATGCAGCCTGCTAAGGCAGAACTCGTGCATCTGTTGGTGTGAGCGGAGCACGTGTTTGCGTTTGCGCATGTGTGTGTGGCTGCAGCGCGAGGACACCTGCGTGCTTCAGCACTTTCTGGCTGTCGGGAGCTCTGAGGTCACAGGCAGAGGGAGTGGAGAGGGCACATTAGAGTAAGCTTCAGAGCCCCCACCCACACACCACGCCTCTGCCGTTTCTTCCCTCCCACCACTTCAACCCTCACTTTTCCTCCTTCTTCCCCCTGTTATCCCCTCTCCCCATCATCCCTCCTCCTCTCCTCTTCCCGCTCACTCCGGCTCGCCTTCTCCTCATGGTGACGGGGTGAGTCAGCCACTCGGGGGGGAGGGGCCGCATAGGGGCAAGGTGCCTCTGTGGCTGACAGCAGGCAGGTCAGGTTTTTGTAGACATGGCAGAGGAGGAAGGACACGTGTGCACGCGGAAGCTTTAAGGTGCGAGTTTACGGTGAGGTAGTGAGCACATCTTTAAATGGACATATGGGGTGCATACGTAAAAACCCAAAAAGCTTTTGCAAAAGATGGAGGATATTACCAGTAAGGTTATAAAATAAGGTTGGCTGTTTATGAGAAAAATTAAATCGGTACATGGGCACAAAAAGTGATATGTTGTATCTCCTGATAACTATTCAATTTTGCAGCACATATAGTAAAAACTCAAATCAAATCACCTTTTTCAGCTTCTCAGAAAACATTCTGGAGGAAATCTGTATTGAATTTTGAATTTAGATTAAGCACAACATAATTTAAAGTTCAGGTGATTAACAGTGCAGTTCATTGTATGCCCCAACACTGAAGTGTCATTTATGAAACACTGAAGTTGTGTTGCACTCATTTGTCATCAGCAGCAAACGGGATTTTTTTTTTTCCATCCACAGTTTGACACACTTCACTATCCTTCACTGCCTTGGATATATATAACTACTAGCTGCCTATAGTGAGACTCATTACAGTGTTAGGGTTTCGGTAGTGACACAGACGTCATCGCTCCATCCAGAAAATCCAAATGACAGTGAGGATATGAACAGGATGTATGCTCATTATTAGGCCTGGTCTGAAAAGAGAAGGGACCAAGTGGAACTGGGTCGGTGTTAGAAATAACAAAAAGACGAGAAATTTCACTCCGTGCAGTTGTAAAGACACACAAGACGAACACAGAATAGCCGTGTTTTAGATTCGGATTGTTTTTTCTAAAGCGTGTTTTTATTTCTAAGCCACAGATTAGATGCTACTTGATCAGGATAAAGTTTCACCCCCGAGCCGAACCTCTGAACATCAAGCCACTTTTCTTTTCAACTAACATTAATATATGAATTTTTTCTCCTTTGTTTCAGCTGTTTAAGCCTGATTTGTGTTGTTTTATTCAAACATAATTAGTTGTAAAGCTGTTACTGCTGCACGCATGTGTGTGTTTGTGTTTGAGCCTCAGAGCCACTGTTGTCCTCTGGTTGTTACTGTGTGTTCACAGCATGATTGAGAGTGGAACTTGCGATGAGCCGGAGGTTAGTGTGATATAATGTATTCCCCTGAATCACCGCAGCCAGCAGCCCAGGGCCTTCCTCTTGCCCGCAGCCTCCTTTTCCTTACACACACACCTTCCACACTCCCCTCGCATCACCGTCCTCTCCCTTTCTTCCCTGCGGTGACTACCCAGTGTTAGCTGCTTAGCACTGCACGCAGTGTCTAATTGAATTCCAACGCTTAGGCGTTAGCTCCTGATGCTATGTTAACACAGCACAATACTAACAATCCTCAGGACGTGTTCAACACTCTTCTTTTAATGAGAAAATTAGTGCTAAGCTCATTTTGGCAACACATGATTTATTCAAAGCTCCAAACTGTGTCTTCTGTATCCCCTAAAGGATCATTTTTATAGCCATCAGCAAATCAGCACTTCATATACACACATCGAGAACATGCAGAATATGTCTTGTGGATACGCCGCTGGTACACTTGTGTGTGCGTCTCCTCCTGCTTCTCATGCTTCCACTTGAGTGTATCCATTGTCGCTTATATAAATGTGTCTGCTGGTCTTTCTGCATCCATATTGCTGGCGATGCCGTCCATCCCCTCTCCCTGACACCTTCACTGTTATTCCCTGGCTCTCAAACATTAGCTCTGGGCTTTAATGGCACATATTTCCTGGGCCCGGCTGAAACGGGATGCATCTTCTCCTTGTTAGCTTGATAAATAACCAGGCTGCTGCGAAAGTGCTGAATTTTAGCTTTCAGCCTCTATTTTCTGCTGGATGACATTAATTTTAAGTGCTGAGAAGGAGCTAACTAATACAGACAAATAAATAAGGAGGTGGGAGGGAAGGTGCAGAGGTGCTGGAGTCAGTGCTGTCCCTCCCTTCCCCCCCTTTACCTGTTTACACACAGGCATTCATAGACGCAATATGCAAACCTGCAAAAATATACCATACACACAAATGGTGCAAAGTCAAGCAAGCGCACACACTCGGTTTCTCAATAGGCGCCTCTGTTGTTGCCCAAACTGTAAAATCAGCTTGTCCTGTTATAAGCACAGCTCCGGCAAAGTCAAATGTTTGACATATTGGAAGCAGATAGTTGGTCAGTCAATCAGTAAGGAAGATTGGCTTCATTCATCTCTATTTATTATTTGCATTTCTTATTTTCTCTTTCAGTGTTACTGATTTTTTTGCAATATGGTGGGAAAGCTCCATCTGGAGCACAATGATCTGGATTAAACTGTATTTATGTGTATTCAGAGACAACAAAGCAGAATAATTAAGTAGTAATTTTTTTTTAATTTTCTTTTTTAGAAAAGACCCCCAAAAATGGTTTCTAGCTTTAGTAGTTGGTACCGATGAGTTTTAAACTGTATCTTTTTATATCCCCTCTTGCTCTCTCAATTCCCATTATTAGTGGATTGATCTGTACTGTTTGTTTTAATGATTGTTCTCTTGACATACAGCTATACACCTCAGTGTCAGTTGAACCTTTGTTAGCTGTACCTGGTTTGCTCCTGAGAAGGTTAGAATAAAAGGTTAAAGATGAATCTAGTCATGTTTTACTTTTATCCTGATGCCTGTCCATTTTTTCTTCTTTTTTTTGCCGTCCTTTATTCTTTATAATTATTTTTATCATTACATTTCCAGTTTCGCAATTTATGATGCAAAACTTCACTTTTGGAAAAACACACAACACAGGCATGGCATAAAGGTGTTTTACACCTGATTTATAAACAAAAAGCAAAGAGACATCAACCAAACACATGAGCCAGAAAAGCTTTAACGTGC